GTCTGCATGCCTGTATTGTCTTGCAGCATCCTGCGGATAGCTCAGCGGACATGACCTTGGCCCCCCTCGCTGTCATCACGTTTACCCCTCTAACAGCGCAACTGCACATGTAACCCTCAACATCATGACTAATACCACACTCGCGGTTACCACCCTCCTCCCCTCATGATCATCACCGTGACTCACCTCCTCCCGGTACTGCCGACAGCTCCATCCCGGTCATGATGTGAGCCCCATGCAACGGCCACGCCACCTCCATAAGGGCCATGATTGCGACCCCTCCCAGATCATGACCTTCACCCCCCATCGCGGTCATCTCACCGGGTCTTGTTCGGGGCCATCGGTTCCAGGGCCATTGCCCAAGCCCCGGTTTGCCCTGACCTACGATCCGCTGGCGGCCATGGCCTACTTACTCACCCTCGACGTCGTAACCGTCACCCCTATTGGGATCGGGGCTCACCCGTGCGGCCTGCATCGAAGTCTTCACCTTCGCCTCCGTCGCAACCATGCCCTTCGCCAATGGCGTGAACGTACACATGGGCTCCATCTGGCCCGGGAGGCCTATCCCCCTCCTGATCATTATCTTTTCGCTCCGATCGATGAGTCTTTCTGCAGCCCCCCAACAGTTTGTGGACGCAGGGCCAAGATTTGAGGCGAAACGAAAGGAGCCCTCAAGCCTTCTCTCTCTATTATATATATATATATACATATATATATATATATATATATATATATTATATATACATACTCTTAAGGGCTTCGCCCTCTGCCGCCGACCCACCTGTTACTAGTGCGTGCGGCTGCGTGGAAAGCGCCGTGTGTGCTTCTCGTGGCAGGCTTCTCGGCAGCGTCTGCGGGTCATTGATAGAGCTTCTTGGAAGCCGTTTTGGAGACTCTCGGGGCGTATTTCGGGTCGCTTGGGGGTCTCCTTGGGGCCTCTTGGGGGCATCTTGGAGCCTCTTGGAGCCTCTTGGGACCTTGGGGCCTCCTGGGGCCCTCTCGGGACGGAAAGGTTGAGTTGTCGGTTCGTGGACTCCCTCGGGAAGGTCTTACGGCCCGGCCGTCTGGGGCGCCTCTTGGACCGTCTTGGGACCCTCTTCGGCCGTCTTGAGGCCGTCTTGGGGGCCTCTTGGGCCGTCGTGGGAGCTTCTAGGGCCGTCGTGGGGCGATCTTGGGAACCTCTTGGTCCGTCTCGGAGCGTCGGAAAACCGAAAAGGCGAGAAGGCCAAAAAACTTCAAAAACTCACAGAACATCGTTGACTTTTGCTTCGGGAGGCCGTCTTGGGGCCATCTTGGGGACATTTTGGGCCGTCTTGGGCTCTTGAGGCTCTCGTCGGAGCCTCTTCGGGCAATCTTGGAGGCCCCTCCGGCCGTTTTGGCCGCGCGGTGACGTCACCATGAAAATCTTGGGGTGGCCCAGAGCAGCCAGGATTTGAGGTTCACCCCCCCCCCGTTAGCTGTTTGGTGGCGCGGCGGGGCCCCCTAGCAGATAGTAAACAGGAGGCAGGAAACAGGACTGGAGAGACAAAAGGCCAACCAACAAATGACAACACATAACACATGACAGCAGGCCGCACACACCTTCGCAGCCTTGCGCCCCCAGAAGGGGGCTGGCGTATATATATATATATATATATATATATATATAGATAGATATAGGTGTATGTATGTATGTATATATATATATATACACACACACACCGGGGGACCGAGGCTCCCTGGCCAGGCCCAAGGACCTCATGGGATGACAGGGCCCCGAGACCGCACTCAGACTCTGTCCAAGCACGCTGCAGCTCGAGAAAATAGCCCAAGAGGCTCCCAAAGCGCACCCCAGAGAGGCCATGAGAGTCCCAAGAGACTTCCCAAGAGGGCGAAAATCGCTAAATTCCGATGGAAAACTTACAATTTTACAAATACACTGGTAGACGGCTTGGGCGCGCTGCACGGCAGCCCAAGAGGCGCCCAAAACCGCCCCAGACGCCTCAAGACGCCCCCGAGAGGTCCCCAGGAGGCCGCCAAGACAGCCCAAGAGGGCACCATAACAGCCCAAGACGCGCCTAAGACGGCCCAAGAGAGACCCAAGACGGCCCCCCAAGCCGCCAGCAGGTCCCCAACAAGCCCCAAGACGCCCCCAAGAGCTCCAGAAGAGGCCCCGAGAGGCTCCCGAACGGCTCTCATCACGCCCCAAGAGGCTTCCTTTCTCGTGAGACCGGCGCTTCGTGCCCTCTTCCGCCTCTTCCGCCTCCTCCTTCATCCTCCTCATCCTCCTCTCATCCGCCTTTCCTCCTCCTCCTCCTACTTCATCCTCCTCCTCTCCCTCCCCCCCTACCCCTCCTCCTCCTCCTTCATCCTCCTGCTCCTTCTCCTCCTCCTCCTCCTTCATCCTCCTCCTGCTCTTCCTGCTGCCCCTCCTCCTCATCCGCTCGCCCAGACCCGCGAGCCACCCGTCATGGCGTGCCGCTTCTCTGCCCACACACGTCTCGGAGACATCGCGGAGGTG